CGGGCGGGACCAACAATAAGCTCGGGGCCGGACGAGGCACAGCTGCATATAACGATGATCTTCTTCCCATTGAACACAAGCATGGCCCAATCGCAATGTGCAAACAACAGTAGGGGTCCAGCTAAGCATTCGCGCGACGCCCTGAGCTCGGGGATAGCGAAGCTTGTTTCTTCTTAGTGCCCTGCGTTTAGATAACAAGAGGATCGTTTAGATAGCAATGTCCACTGTCAGCACGGCAATTTTGTGCCGAGTCAGCCAACCATCCCCTTTTGGGCAAGCCATTCGACCTCATCAGCGCCCTAGGTGCCGACCTCCGATTGACGGTCGCTCAGCCACTGGCTCAGAGCGCTGAAGTCAGGCATTCTGCTCCTGCGAACGCCTTTTGCCAGGCGGGCTGCGGGGGCGGTGTCTAGTGTGCTGCAGTTGCGAATGCGATGAAACCGACAGAGTGCGTGGATGGCTTTCTTTGGCTGCCTGCAAAGCCGTGAGATCTCCGCTTGCTGGAAAATAAATATTATGGCTCGAGTCTAACGACGAATTTGATGTCCAGTCAAGATATTCACACTTTTCAACATCAACACCTACCAGAGGACACCACTTGAGGATCAGTCACCACAATGGAGTCCCTCATCCGCGTCAGAGCCCTCGGGAACAAAACGGACAATGACGTTTGCCCCATACAATCCCTCGATGAAAGTCAGTAATAATGGAAGCCAGAATGTAGTCAGGTATCATCAATGCTGACCGAGACTCAGATGCTTCGCAGCCATTTATCGGAACCATGTCTTTCTACAAGTTTAACATGATTCTATCCGGAAGCTTTACGGCTGCTGCATGCCTCATTGTCTTTGTCTTCATGTTTCTTCACGCGACGCATCTTAGCAAGAGTAACGAGCAGATCAAGTAAGCCCCATATCCTTCAAACTCTGCCAACATGTGCTAACTACCCTTCAGAATCTTGCGCATCTCACTCATCATTCCATTTTGGTCGATATTCTCGTTTCTTTCAATATGCTTCCCGGCAGCACAAGTCTACCTGCACCCGTGGCTTGAGTTCGTTCAATCCATCTGCCTTGGCACGTTTTTCCTGTTGCTGTGCGAATTCGTCTCCCCGAGCGAGCAACACAGGGATGTGTTCTTCGCAGCTCTTACCATCAAGGACAAAAAGTCCGAAACTGGAACGCAAGATGGCTTGCAATGGTTCAGGGTGCGTCGATTAGATGATGATTTGTGAATTATCTCTCAGGGCTAACATGCTTCCAGAGGATGTGGTTTTCCATCTTTCAGTATCCTGTTGTCTCCTTGTTGATCGCCATCCTGACGGCCATCACACAAGCCGCAGGTGTTTACTGCGAATTTGCTAGCAAGGCTCATTTTGCTAAGCTCTGGGTGAGTCTTCACATGAAAGCCAGCAATCCATCACTTCGCTAACTCATCCATCAAAGCTTTCAATTATTGCCAGTGTATCGCTTACAATCGCAATCATGACGGTTATCCGTTTCTACATGCAGTTGAGAGGCCACCTAGCCCATCACCAGCCCTTGGCCAAGTTTTTGGCATTCAAGCTGGTTGTATCCCTGACGTTTCTCGAAAATGTAAGTCTAGGACCAATCCTCCGTATTTAAGTTTCCGTGTTAACCAGTCTGTAACAGATTATCTTTTGGATTCTCCGAGATGTCGGGGCGTTGAATCCCACGGCGATGCTGACCTGGGCTGATCTCAACATTGGCATTCCTTCCATGCTTATCTGCATTGAGATGTTCCCGTTGGCGATCTTCTTCCACTACGCCTACTCCCATCGTCCTTACATCATCGGTGGTGGTCACGCTCGCCGCCCCGTCGCTGGAGATCTGGAGGCATATGAACCTCAGAGCTATTCTGGCGGACCGGGAGGCTTGTGGGCACTCGTGGAGATGTGGAACCCCATGGAGATCGTGGAGGCTATCAAGTTTGGTTTGCACATGAAGGCAGAGGAGCGTAAGCAGAGAAATGCTCGCAAGGGGTTTCCTATGACAAGCTATCAGCCTGTTGATGAACGATACGGCAGATATTAAGGTTGAGAATTGGTTCGGAGATGGTATGTATGTAACATTATCATAGAATATTACGCAGCGTGTTTCATAAGCAAGTCTATCTACAAGGCTTCATGACCGACTAGAGCGCGTTTACCTTAGCGGCATGCTCATAAACGAGAGGTTGAGCCTCAGCATCGTCCAAGTAGATCGTGAAACCATCATTGTGGTTGCGACCGTAGGAGTAGTTGGAGTACCCATATTGCCAGTACATGTCAGGCATCTCTTCCTCGAGAGAGATAGCTTGCCACTTGCCAAGGACCTCAGTACGAGGCGTGTTGTCCACGATGCCAAGGTACTCCAGGCGCTTGTCGGCAGTCAACCAACCGTACTCCTCGTGAACCACAGGCTTGCCGACCTTGCGGCCAGAGGCGGCGTGATCGCGGATCCACTGCTCTGTCCATTCGACAGTCTTGCTCCACCAATCGGGGTACGAATGGAAGGTACCAAAGTCAATGTTGGGCAGTGCGAGCTCGTGGTCGAAGTCGCTTCCATCAGCTCCATTGTAGGCCCAGTCATCGGACTCGATGTTGAAGCCGCCCTCACCGCCCCAGGTGACAAGGTGGTGGCTGTCGAGGCTCTTGACGTAAGCACTCATCTCCTCGATCCAAGCACCGAGACGTGCCGGGGTGCAGTCGTCACTTCGGGGAAGGTTACGGGTGCCATCAGCTCCACAGCGCGGCTCGTTGGCGAGCTCCCAAGCCATGATCGCGGGAGAGTCCTTGTAGCGGGTGACCATTTCCTTCACGTAGCGCTTGAACGCGTCTTTGATCGCGGGTACGTGGTAGAACTGAAGCAATGTCTGGTTAGCTTTGCCATCCTGGTCGTAAGATGACGAAACACCTACGTCGTCGTGGTACTTGCCACCGAGATTAACGGTGTAGACATCCATGCCGCCATAGTCGGCCCAGTTGTTCGTAAGCGCGACGATCAACTTAATACCGACGTTCGTCGCGGCGTTGACAACCTTGTCGAAGGCATCGATGTTAATCACCGAGGTGCCGTTGTCATACCATCTCTGAAAGACGATGTCGGTGTCCCCAGCGCCCTCGCCGCCGTATTGAGGTAGACCACTGGCATTGTAGGTGACGTTCTTGTCGTTGAAGCCCCAGGTCCGGAAAACTTTCAGGCCGGCTTCCTTCGCGGCTGTCATGCCAGCTTCGACATCTGCTTGGTTCTGAGGGCCATTGTCAGCTTCTATCATCTTGATCGAGACCCATCGTATTTCCTTACGTTGTCGAAAGGAAAGTAGTAAGCATTGCTTCCCGCAAAATTAAAGTCCTCGCCATCCAGCTGGAACTTAGTACCCGAAGTCGTCACGTATCCTTTCCTGACGCATGGCGCGGCGGCAACTCCGCCGGCCAGCAGGCCAATTGAAAGGAGACCGGAGAGATTGGGCAGCATTGTTGACAATTGACGGATACTTCAGCTGTCTCTACGTCTTCCAATCCAGGGCGATGAATCCATCCTAAACGAGGGCGGGGACTGCTCATATTTATTGCGATCGATGGAAGATCCCCTGCCCCAGACTTCTGGGCCGACACTTATCCAGATTGATCACGGAGACCGTTGGCCCGCGTGCCATGCGATCTTCTCCAAGGATTTGGAGATGCCAAGAGTGCGGGCAGGCCACTTTGCCTCTTACATCACGGAGGGAGGTCGTCCGAAAGTTGGGGTTCGACCAATCATAAGAGCTGCTGGTCTTCGGAAAACATCAACAAACTTTGGCTGGCTCGATCGTACCTGATCCGTTGTTGTATCCGCTGTTGGCCAACCTCGCGTTCTGGCAATCATCAATATCGAATGTTGAGGATGTGCCCGGACTGCCTTGAGGCCAAGATGGCGGCGTACAGCTAGTCTTCACGAGGGTCGATGACTATCGAACCAGGCGTCAGCTTCTGATTTGTTCCAGGGCATCCAAGCTCTGAATTGATGTCCCGGCCAACGTTGACGTCGTCTGATGTTGCATAACCATTTCGTCTTGAGTCCAATCTACCCGACGGCTCAAACGCATGTTCATCCGAAGGCCAAGCATGGGCTCCGCACACTCGTCCAAGCTCTCCAATTTTCACCTCGTCACTGCTGGCATGAATCCCAGTCCCTTCGCGTCGTCCGACATTTTTAGCGAGCCATTCATAGACCAGTCTGGCAAAAGAGTGGGACCAACAGCACCACGCCGTGAACATAAACCCCAGTTGATCATGGGGTCCTTGCATGGAGATGGCGCGGGGTAGCTGTGTCTTGCGGCCCAGGTTGTCAATGACCCGAACCCGAGCATCCGGCGGGGTGGTTATCGACGGGATTGAAGTTGGTATGCTGCAATGATGATTTGGCAGACAACATCCCGGGTTTTCGGCCGTTATGTGCCGATCTAATCATATATTGTCACTGTGCAACAAACGATGTGGTATGAAGGCCCTATTGACGTGTTGGACTCCACTCAGAGGGAAGACTGCGATTATGTTATCACGCAAGTCTCTGTCGATGACGGTAGGAGGAACAGTTCAATGTAACGAAAACGAGCACCGGCCAACATCAGTCGGTCTAGACTAAACGAATGTTGAAAGAAGAAAAGATGTCATAATTGGGAACTAGAGCTAACTAACGGGATGAAAGGAAATGGTTGTATCATCAGCAGCCCGCGCTGGCATTTGAAGATGAGATTTATGGAAACATGATGGAATTAAAGCAGAAAGTTGATAGTCCACTACCTAAAGCAGGAAAGAGCGACCCGAGAGTTAGGTGAACACAACAGAAGCAGCACTACTTAGTAGGTTCCTACATACCTAACTATATCTTACTCCACCCTGCGTTACGTTCTATAATAAATCAATCTGTACAAAAGAATAAGTTGCGGAGTACACGCATGATGCTAATGCAAGAGCACTCAAGATCAAAAATTGAAGCGTTTGTAACGCTTCAGCTTGTTGCCTCGAGAGAGAATCGAACTCTCGATCTCCTCATTACTAGTGAGGCGCTTTACCACTGAGCCATCAAGGCGAATTGATGACGGCGTCGTGAATGGGGCTTATGGACGCATGCAGTGGATGCGGATGGGGCCAGATGGGGCTGTGGTTGTTGTATCGTGGGTCTGATCAATTGAATGGAAGCCAAAGGCGTCAAGTGAATAGTCGCTAACCTGGTATCTTGGTTGCGAGGCCTAGCACATCAAATCCCTTGAAAATGTGCCAATGGTGAAGGTCCAGAGTAGAGGAATGATCAAAACGCTGAGGTCAACACCACTCTTCATGCGGCATGTTGGAATAACGGCGGAGCTCCTCAATCACCCGGGGTCGTGGAGTGGTCATCTAGGCTTCAGATGGAGTTTGACCATACACACTTAATGGCTCAAGTTGCCTGATTGGAGACCGTGTTTTTGGTCTCGTCAGAAATCCGTATACTGAAGCCGTGAGACGATGACTATGAGGTCCGGGTGAGCTGCCGTTGACTTGAAGGTCACTGAAGTTTCATTGGTCTTTTCGAATTGTTCTGCTAGTACGGATTCGGACCTCCCCTTTATGGTTGTGCACTATCTGTCTACTTTGCATAAGGTAAGCAACCTAATGGTAGCTAAACGGCTGTCACAGCTACATGTTGATTTGACCTTAGCCGTAACTCTTACTCGAGGTTCCGCATACTCGGGGAGACGGCTGGGGATGAGCAAGGCGCTTCTTACCATCAATGTCTATTATTGTTAAGATGTTTGGCAATGTGATAAGAGAAAGCTGTGCTCGGACCATTGCAATCCGTGCCGCGATCCGGATGCAACTGCTCTTCACATCTTGTATTCGTTAGGCAGTTGATGAATCATGCCACCGCTAAAGTAGACTGGTCCGACATATAGTGGTGTGATAAAATACTCGGTAATGTTGAGGAAGTTTCGGGCCCATCGACTAGAGGGTTTCACAGTAGGAAGATAAGGAGTAATAAGCGACGGGTTTTCATGGCCATCAAATCGTTGAAAAAAAAGCCCTGTGTTTGTCAACATAAGCGCTGTCGCTTTTCCTACCGGTGCTATTGAATGTTCTAGGAATAAGCTCAGTTGGTCTCTGCGAACATTCATTTCCATGTTGGTATGATGAGGAGCACCCTCTGGAGGGCCGAATACTGTGAAAGAAGAGCCGGAATGTTCTGGATATTTGTTAGTCCATAAAGTCAAAACGGAACCAAACCCAGAATTCCCGCATTGGGAGTAGCAACCACGGGCTTCTCCCTCCGTGATCCTTACCAACAGCCGAAATCCACCAATTACCGAGACTATCTCACTGCCGCTTACCACCATGTCATTAAACATGGAGAAATCCTGGGGTTGATACGTTGCACCTGCTATAAGTTGGGTCTTGATGGCTGTCGTATGTGACCACGAGGTTATGGCTTCATTTACGTCCAGGCACCTTACTCGTCGAATTTCATCAGCAGCTGCCGCGTTCATCTTGCCAAGCCTCTTTGACAATGTGACTTCATTAAAAGTCAGTTGATGTAGCAATGGCAATCATATGAGAGGGAGGGACGAGCGAGGCATATAAAGTGGTCAGCCAGGACTTGTCGTCACCTGGTTCCGACCTGACCGTGGTTCCCTGTGTGCAATTTGTGTCCCGAAAACCAAGCTTTGATCGTCATGAAGGCCGTCATCCTATCCCTGCTGGCAATTGCCGCTCAACAAGCAGCTTCTCATGCAACCTTTCAGGCTCTTTGGGTTGATGGAGTCGATGTAATATCTCTAAGGTTGTTCGAAGTGTTAAACGTGGTGCTGACTTGAAATAGTATGGTGGCCAGTGTGCCAGACTTCCCCTCTCAAACTCCCCGGTCACAGACGTTTCCTCCACCGATGTTCGATGCAATGCCAACAGCGGGCCAGTGGCCAAGAAATGCGTCGTGAAGGCTGGCTCTTCTGTCACGGTTGAGATGCACCAGGTAAGCATGTTCAGTTGTGACCGTGCAACCCGCATTGGTTTCTGATCGGGGATTCATAGCAACCAAATGATCGGTCATGTACTTCAGAAGCCATCGGTGGCGCTCACTACGGACCAGTCATGGCATACATGACCAAGGTTTCCGACTCTTCTTCGGCCGACGGATCTACCGGATGGTTCAAGGTCTATCAAGATGGATGGGCCGCCGCGGCTGGCAGTGCCAATGGCGATGGGGACTATTGGGGATCGAAAGACATGAACACTTGCTGCGGCAAAGTTCAAGTCAAGATCCCCTCGGATATCCCAGCTGGGGACTACTTGCTTCGGGCCGAGGCGATTGCCCTTCACGCAGCAGGCTCCAGCGGTGGTGCTCAGCTGTACATGACATGCTTCCAGCTGACTGTCACCGGCGGCGGAAGTGCCTCGCCTGGAACAGTTTCATTCCCTGGAGCATACAAGGCTTCTGACGCTGGTCTGCTCATTGACATTCACAGAGCGCTGACTACCTATGTCGTGCCGGGGCCTACAGTCTACGCTGGCGGTTCGACCAAGAGTGCCGGATCTGGTTGCGTCGGGTGTGAGTCGACTTGCACCGCTGGCTCCGGGCCTACCGGAACGGCCTCCAGCGTTCCCCAGCCGAGCACGACTGGCGGTCGTCCGGGATGCACTGTTGCCAAGTACGGCCAGTGTGGCGGTACGGGATGGACTGGTTGCACTACCTGCGCTGTGAGTGGTTAAGCCGTCTTGTGCCGAACTTGTATCTGACTGATCAATCTTTAGTCTGGATCAACTTGTCAAGCCGTATCAGCACCTTACTATTACCAGTGCGCGTAAGTCTCAAGGATCCTGCTAGTCAAGTGGCGGCAGAGACTGGACAGACGAATGGATGAATAGGATTTCGATTCGGTCTGGTCGATGAAGGTCTTGACAAGCGCCGATTGCTGAGCATTAGATGCCGACATATTGTCAATCTTGCCTTCAAAACCCATCTAAGATTCTTGCTCTCTTTGAACCGAAAGTCGTATTATATAAAAGCATTTGCTAGTTGACATCGCGACAGCCTTGCGTGCCTCGCATGTATGAATTGCGTCAGGGCGCTTCTATCTTCAAGCTGTTTCAATGACATCCCCAGAACTAAGTGTTGACGCCGCCTTCATTTCGAGAAGATGATCAGCCATGGCCCACCTCCCAGATGGTCCGGAAGAAATAATCTTCAGTTGGTAGGCGAGCCATGCACCGATATCTTTATCCGTCTTCCCCACAACCTCATACGCCATTCTCATTGGAAACAAGATGGATGAGCTGGAAACATCCCGCAGTCGTTCAAGGTGAAAATCAACGCTGCGACAGATGGTGATGGCGGATGAATACATTCGCTTGATCAGTAGTCCAGATTGTTCCAGATCTTGCAGGAGCAGGTTGAGCCCTTGTATGAACATCATTACCAAGATGAGAGCGCCGTTGAACGTAGTCGAGATGCTAGCATCATAAAGAGAGTGATACTGCAGGACCGTCGCCCAGATAGGCTTTCTTGCTCCATGTTGGTCTGCATGCGTGGGCGTTGTCTTCGGTGAAGCCACCTCAGTCCAGCGCGAGAGGGCGGTGGAGGCCCAGCATTTTTCCCACGCCTCCAAATCTTGCAGAACCGATCGTGCCTGTGATCGAAGGGAGATCAATGACGCAAGGTCCGCAGCACCCATTTGGCCAACAAGCATTTCGTCTCGCTTAACAAAGATTTCGGGACAGTCGGCAACAATGTCGATAAGCAGCTGTAACGGGTCCTTGCGTTCAGGATGCTGTAGCCAGGGTATGTTCTTCCATTCAGGTCGAGATAAAATGGTTCCAGTATGAGTTATTAGAGCAGCGAAAATGATGGAAGACCGGGCCCGCTCCAGAATAATGACACAGGGTAGTTCCTGCATAGACTCAGGTCCCCTGACTTTCAGCAGCTGCTCGAAGCCGCGAGCATGGCCGATCCATCCGTCTTCTCGATCGCCCACTAGGAGCTTTGAAAGTTGTGAGCATGACGGCTTATGGTTTTAGTCAGCCTGAGGTTTCCAGGAGAAAGCTTACCTCGAACAGGGCCATTACGATGACTGCTTCCAATACGTCAAAGGATCGAGAGCCCTTAGGGTCGCCAAGAGCATTGTTGAGAGCCTTTAAGGCAGTGCCGTATTTCCGCAATCCTCGCTGCACAACTGGCTTTTGCCTATTATCGAGGCCAAACATTGTGGTGGCCAAGGCGACGAAGCATTTGCCGGTGATGGTCCTGTCGGTACCTGGTTTGACCACGATATCCTCACTTTCCCGAAGCAAATGCTTATGTGTATACGTCACGAAGATATCGTCCATAGCTGTCGGCATCAAAGAAGGTTCCAAGAAACGGAGTGGAATCATGTAAGCGGCGCTGATCGCCGTTGTCATGACCGCAGGCTGCTCCGGTGATGCGATGGTCGACCGTCCTGAAGATGGTGGCGATGGCAACGAGCTTTTGACGCGCGCAGAATCTGGGCAGTTGCTGCCGCTGTATTGGATAAAGCTGAATCCGCGGATTCCTCCGCATTTTAGCTTGGCTTTGAAGCATCTGTTGCATTCGGGAGTCGTGAGGTCTTGAATACTCGTCAGACGGGATCATGCGTTGGGCTCCTCGTAGACGTCGATGCAAGCCGACTTACCGCATTTGACGCGCCGGCGGCGACAGTTGTCGCAGGCCTTTGATCTTCCGCCAACCCCAACCATTTTGGGCCTGATATGATGGCAGCTCGGTAGTTAGACAATGGCTTCCAATTTACGAATCAACATCAGAGTGCGGTATGTTCGATAGAAGCGGAGATGCATCGTCGTTGACATTGTCGCGACGCGCCAAACTAAGACTGGGTCTGTGACGAGAGTGGCTGGAAACAGCTCCATACCATTGGGTTCTCCCTGAGACCGGATCCGTCGACAAGCTAGCACCATCTCAGTTAGCATTCTCTGCTGCCTAAACCAGAGACCTGGAAGGGATAGAGACGATCACTTGCGCATAGGTCTAGCAAAAGAAGGAGAAAACAGGAGGTGGGAGCTGATTGTGTTTTACTTCATTGCCTC